TTTATTGAAAAAGTTTTGCAGCCCGAAGGCTGAAAATATACATTGGACATAAATGACTTATTACATACATTGGTGGTTTAACAAAAGCCTTCATTAGAGAAAGGTAAAGGAACATACAGTGAACATACAGATTATTGTAGGTGTTGAACAGCAAACACGTAGTGTAGTAACTCCCTCCCAGATGGTGTTAGGAGGGGCCTCACGTGGTGTAGTAGTTCCCTCACAGATGGTGTTATGAGGGGCCTCACGTGGTGTAGTAATTCCCTCACAGATGGTGTTATGAGGGGCTTCACGTGGTGTAGTAATTCCCTCACAGATGGTGTTATGCGGGGCCTCACGTGGTGTAGTAATTCCCTCACAGATGGTGTTATATGAGTGAGGTGTGGTCCCAGGCCTTCCTATCGTAGACGGATTAACACATCGCTGGTTGTTGGGTCTCACGGGCCATTATCACTGGGTACCTGGGACCTCACTGTGTGAAGGTTAACTTGGGTGTGACTGTTACTGTTGAGTTGTTCTCACTGACTTAAGCAATGTTCACCACTGTTCACCTCTGTTTAACACTGGTTCCATTCCTTTCCTAAATGAAATAGTAACTTCTGGCGTGAACTTGTTGATATTCCGGTGGGGAGGAGGGTTCAGGGGAGGGAGTTGGTATGGGCCAACTTAACAGTTGACCTGGCTGCTCCGAGAGGAGCGCCAGGTACGTCTTGTATATATATACATATATACATATATACAGGTGGCCTATCAAAAATCTGGCAACCGATAAACCGGAACCTTCAGTTTTCCGGCATGGATTTCAGAGCGCATTTTCAAATATTTCTTTGTTTATTTAATGAAGATATATGTTTTAGCTCATAAAATTCATACAAATTACCCGGCCAGAATATAATTTACATTGCTGGAATTCTTACAATTTGATGATCATTTTGAATATAAACATCATAGATTTTGTATTAGACATACAAATTTTAGATATAATGTTTACTCTGAATAAATATGTTATCTTTTGTGCAAAATGTATGAAATTTATATTCAAAATATTCCTGGTCCTAGAAGGAATCCAGCATTGTCAATTATATCATCCTAACTTCAGTCTGAGGTATTATTTATTACTAAAAAGGTAAATAGTCTGGTTTTCCCACACATTTATCTGGTAGGGAGGGACCGTCTGACCATCTGGCACGGTGTGAAGAATATTTTTTTTTTTATTAACTGAAGATATTTGTTTTAGCTCATAAAATTCATACAAATTACCCGGCCAGAATATAATTTACATTGCTGGAATTCTTACAATTTGATGATCATTTTGAATATAAACATCATAGATTTTGCATTAGACATACAAATTTTAGATATAATGTTTACTCTGAATAAATATGTTATCTTTTGTGCAAAATATATGACATTTTTATTCAAAATATTCCTGGTCTTACAAGGAATCCAGCAATGTCAATTATATTATCCTAACTTAAGTGTTTAATTTTTTTTGTTTAAAGGACTGTACAGGTACCGTATATCACGGCCTATAAGGCGGCGGGGTGCATAAGACGCCCCCCCCAAATTTCCATTTAAAAAGTAGCTTTTGAGCTCTATTTGCTGTATAAGACCAGTACCCCAAATGTGACACTTACCCACTGACTCAGTAGTCCTTTACCAACCATCCTTGATTTTTTAAAATAAGGCCAATTCACTTCAAGTAATGTCATCAAATTATACCCGCTGGTGTAGTGTAAACACTAGTGACGTCACTGAAGCGTGGTGGGAGTGTTCCCTCGTCTCGGTGGTGTGACTATTTATACAACATGTGGTTCAACAGCAACCACCGTATTCTAATTGTGGTGTTTCATTAGGATTTGAGTGAAAAAGGTTACCAGTATGTACTTACTACATACATTTATTACACAAATATATATATATATATATATATATATATATATATATATATATATATATATATATATATATATATATATATATATATATATATATATATATATATATATATATATATATATATATATATATATATACTGAATATACTATGTACAAAAAATGAATGTTCAATGAATTATTTATGGTGCATTAGGGTACTGGTCACTTCTGATGGGCTATAAATAGCCTTCTTTATCTCCCCTACATCTCACCCTGAGCCAGACGGAAGGGTCTTGGTAAATAACATGTTTGCTTATTTTCCATTTACTTTAAATAGATTTACCGAATTATTTGTTTTATTTATTTATTTATAATATACTGTAATATATTAAACACACTGTAATTATTTTCTTTAATTTATAAACTGTTTTGCAACAAAGGAATGTTCTCCAGTAGTGTTTCATTAGGATTTGAGTGAAAAAATATTACGTACTTACACAATTGTTCCTCTTACTTTGACAACACAACATACATACAGTATATTATTTCTCAGTTTTGATCTTTTTTTTTAATTTTTGTATTTATTTATAGTTAGTTACTTAAAATAAGGCCAATTCACTTCAAGTAATGGCATCAAATATTACCAGCTGGTGTAGTGTAAACACTAGTGACGTCACTTGAGCGTCTGTAATTAACCGTCGATAGTTTCAAGAATTAATGCACTCATTTACTGAATATTCTTTGGAAAAAAATAAAATTTAAATCAATTATTTATAGGAGATAAATATTATTATGAGTAAATATACCGATACCGGTATGCATTACTGACCACCTCCACGGCTCCTCACTGGCAAATGGGGGGGGGGCGTGGGGAGGGGTGTGTGATGATAGCTGTGTTTATTATAGGGGTATAAATCTCTTTTACGGTATGTTAGACAGGTTTATAATACATTTTTATTATTTTAATATACCGGTAATCTTAATTTGAATCCAGCTTGCCAAACGTAAGTTTCAGTATAAAATAATTAGTGGTAAGACCTTGTGAGTGGCTTACGATGTTTTCATCACCACTCTTGACACACTAAACCACAATATTTAAGAGGTAAGAATTTTAAACTTGGTGGTTTAGACGACCCCCTAACTTTGGGCAGATTTTTTTAATGTTCAAATTTCGTCTTATAGGCCGTGATATACGGTAGTCATTTTCTGTTAAACTTATACAGCAAATATAATCATCAGTTTTCCGGCATTTTCGAAAATCCGGCACTCCTCAGGTCCCGAGGTTGCCGGATTTTTGATAGGCCACCTGTATATATATATGTCATTCATTTTGTATTTCACTGATGGGCGGAGGTGGTGGAGCAATTGTGTGATGGGTAGTGGAGCGGAGGAGGAGAGTGGCGAGTCACTGAGACCCGGCGAGTGGCTCCTCCTCCCGGCTTAAAAACCTCCGTTTTCGAAGCAAGGCTAATGGTTTTACGTTGCTTCTTCACAGCACTACCATTAGTAGCACTTGATGGGCACTTGGAAGCAATTTCGAATTGTTAGAGTACAGTATTAAGAGCAAAAACACTTAAACACGCACGCACGCTGTGGAAGCCCAACAATGACTGACGACGCTTGAGGACGTTGTGACTTTCTGCGAGTGAGAGGCAGCACACCAAGACGAGAGAGCGTAGCACGCCAAGACAAGAGAGGGTGATGCGCCATAAAAAGTAGTAAGTGACGACGCAAAAAACGAAGTTATATTGAGTCGTCGGGACATTAACCTAATTATTGGTATCTAAAGAGTAGCGACGTTATCGAGGGCAACGGTAAACGCGGATTTACTGTATTAACAGAAACAACAAATTAGTTATAATCGATCAAAAGATTTTCTCAGCACACATAAATGACAACAGTAGCACGCTTGTGTGCCGCGGCACTCGATTTGGGAATCACTGTTGTAGACAAAAGTGATGATGGGTAACACACAGACCTGTACTAGTATAACACTGAAGTAAGTTCCTCTCTTATCTTATAGAACCCCTGTTAAAAAAAGCAAAAGATGACGACCAGAAGAGTGAGTACTTCAAAACAAAAGGTGAAACACTAGGCCGAGTGAGACTAAAAGCTGCTGCAAAGTGGACTCCTCCGCGCTCACCCTTCAACCTGTTCCAAGAATCCCTCTATCATGATCCATGGAAACTCCTTGTTGGAACTATATTCCTCAATAGAACCACAGGTAAGATTTATATTCTGTACCATATATTATATACTGTACCTGTAGTTTAGGTGCAACTCTCTTAATACCAGTCTTCCTACAGTGTGTTAAGTGAGTATGTTCTTTACTGCCTGTGTGCAAGGTAATGTGTACTATACCGTACTGACAGTGTACAAGGTGATGTGAACTGTACTGTACTGTACCGACAGTGTGCAAGATGATGTGTACTGTACTGACAGTGTACAAGATGATGTATACTGTACTGTACTGACAGTGTGCAAGATGATGTGTACTGTACTGTACCTACAGTGTGCAAGATGATGTGTACTGTACTGTACTGACAGTGTGCAAGATGATGTGTACTGTACTGTACTGTACTGTACTAACAGTGTGCAAGATGATGTGTATTGTACTGTACTGTACTGACAGTGTGCAAGATGATGTGTATTGTACTGTACTGTACTGACAGTGTGCAAGATGATGTGTACTGTACTGTACTGACAGTGTGCAAGATGATGTGTATTGTACTGTACTGGCTGTGTGCAAGATGATGTGTACTGTACTGTACTGACAGTGTGCAAAATGATGTGTATTGTAATGTACTGTACTGTACTGACAGTGTGCAAGATGATGTGTACTGTACTGTACTGTACTGTACTGTACTGACAGTGTACAAGGTGATGTGTACTGTACTGACAGTGTGCAAGATGATGTGTACTGTACTGTACTGTACTGACAGTGTGCAAGATGATGTGTATTGTACTGTACTGTACTGACAGTGTACAAGATGATGTGTACTGTACTGACAGTGTGCAAGATGATGTGTACTGTACTGACAGTGTGCAAGATGATGTGTACTGTACTGTACTGACAGTGTGCAAGATGATGTGTACTGTACTGTACTGGCTGTGTGCAAGATGATGTGTACTGTACTGTACTGTACTGACAGTGTGCAAGATGATGTGTACTGTACTGTACTGTACAGACAGTGTGCAAGATGATGTGTACTGTACTGTACTGTACTGACAGTGTGCAAGATGATGTGTATTGTACTGTACTGTACTGACAGTGTGCAAGATGATGTGTACTGTACTGTACTGTACTGACAGTGTGCAAGATGATGTGTACTGTACTGTACTGTACTGACAGTGTGCAAGATGATGTGTATTGTACTGTACTGTACTGACAGTGTGCAAGATGATGTATGCTGTGCTGTACTGTACTGACGGTGTGCAAGATGATGTGTATTGTGCTGTACTGTACTGACGGTGTACAAGATGATGTGTACTGTGCTGACAGTGTGCAAGATGATGTGTACTGTACTGACAGTGTGTGCAGATGATGTGTACTGTACTGTACTGACAGTGTACAAAAGGTGATGTGTACTGTACTGACGGTGTACAAGATGATATTGTACTGTACTGACAGTGTGCAAGATGATGTGTACTGTACTGACAGTGTACCAAGATGATGTGTACTGTACTGACAGTGTACAAGGTGATGTGTACTGTATTGACAGTGTACAAGATGATGTGTATACTGTACTGACAGTGTGCAAGATGATGTGTACTGTACTGACAGTGTACAAGATGATGTGTACTGTACTGACAGTGTGCAAGATGATGTATACTATACTGTACTGTACTGACAGTGTACAAGGTGATGTGTACTGTACTGACAGTGTGCAAGATGATGTGTACTGTACTGTACTGTACTGACAGTGTACAAGGTGATGTGTACTGTACTGACAGTGTGCAAGATGATGTGTACTGTACTGACAGTGTACAAGGTGATGTGTACGTACTGACAGTGTACAAGGTGATGTGTACTGTACTGTACTGACAGTGTGCAAGATGATGTGTACTGTACTGACAGTGTGCAAGATGATGTGTACTGTACTGTACTGACAGTGTACAAGATGATGTGATCTGTACTGTACTGACAGTGTACAAGGTGATGTGAACTGTACTGTACTGACAGTGTACAAGGTGATGTGAACTGTACTGTACTGTACTGTACTGACAGTGTGCAAGATGATGTGTACTGTACTGTACTGTACTGACAGTGTACTAGGTGATGTGAACTGTACTATACTGACAGTGTATAAGGTGATGTGAACTGTACTGTACTGACAGTGTATAAGGTGATGTGAACTGTACTGTACTGACAGTGTACAAGGTGATGTGAACTGTACTGTACTGACAGTGTACAAGGAGATGTGAACAGGTACTGTACTGACAGTGTACAAGGTGAAGTGAACTGTACTGTACTGACAGTGTACAAGGTGATGTGAACTGTACTGTACTGACAGTGTACAAGGTGATGTGAACAGGTACTGTACTGACAGTGTACAAGGTGATGTGAACTGTACTGTACTGACAGTGTACAAGGTGATGTGAACAGGTACTGTACTGACAGTGTACAAGGTGAAGTGAACTGTACAGCTACTGACAATTAATACAGGTGATGTGAACTGTACTGTACTGACGGTGTACAAGGTGATGTGAACAGGTACTGTACTGACGGTGTACAAGGTGATGTGAACTTTGTACTGTACTGACAGTGTACAAGGTGATGTGAACAGGTACTGTACTGACAGTGTACAATTGATGTGAACTGTACTGTACTGACAGTGTACAAGGTGATGTGAACTGTACTGTACTGACAGTGTACAAGGTGATGTGAACAGGTACTGTACTGACAGTGTACAAGGTGATGTGAACTGTACTGTACTGACAGTGTACAAGGTGATGTGAACAGGTACTGTACTGACAGTGTACAAGGTGAAGTGAACTGTACTGTACTGACAGTGTACAAGGTGATGTGAACTGTACTGTACTGACAGTGTACAAGGTGATGTGAACAGGTACTGTACTGACAGTGTACAAGGTGATGTGAACTGTACTGTACTGACAGTGTACAAGGTGATGTGAACAGGTACTGTACTGACAGTGTACAAGGTGATGTGAACTGTACTGTACTGACAGTGTACAAGGTGATGTGAACTGTACTGTACTGACAGTGTACATGGTGATGTGAACTGTACTGTACTGACAGTGTACAAGGTGATGCATACTCTGCTGTACAAGTTTTTCAACTTGTATTTTGGGTAGATAAACATAGCTTTTATTTTTTACGTATTTACATGCACACACCTTCCTCAATACATATTGTGAATAAAGGTAAAAGAAATATTTGTCCTAAGGGCAAAGCTGTACTCAAATGTACTATATAATTACTAAAATTTTATGTCTAGTTCAATCTCTTGGATGTTGTACTCAAATTAATCACTATCCTACAAGAATTACAGCAATGGAAGTTATATTCTGCTAAGTCAATTCAGTGACATTTTATAAGCACAAGACTTAAACTCCCTCTATATGACTGATAACTGCCCACTTTGTTAACTCCCTGCCTGCTGTGAACACTAACCTCCCCCTCCTCCCAGCCAGGGTGAAGGTAGTTTTAGGCTTTAAAGTTTTTATTGTATAAAATGTCACAGACTAATCTTAGCAAAATATAACTTGCATTGCTGGAATCCTTGCAAGATGGTGAATAATTTGAGTATAAACATCACATTGTTTGTATATGAGATAAACGTTTTAACCCTTTAGTGTAGTATGTTCGAGTTCAAAGTGAGTATACAATAATATGTTGCTTAAAATTATGACTTTTTCACAGGAAAAAGTCTTTTTAACTAACCCCAGTGGTTAGGATAATATGTACTTAATTTGGGTGTTTTTTTGTATAATTTTTTATCATTTTTATACATTTAATACATTCCCGGAAGATTCGGACAATTGGCTTTTTCAGACAGGTGGTCCACCTATTTAGTCCGGATCTTTGAGGGCTCACTGTAATAAACTTATTGATAATTTTAAATTCACATATACTCATTCACTACACAGGTGAAGAAGCTCTTGGTAGAAATATTCTGTGGGAGTTCCTAGAGAGGTGGCCAACCCCAGAGGATACAGTTTTGGCTTCCTGTGATGATATTGCTAATCTCATTCAACCTTTGGGCCTTCACGAGAAGAGAGCAAAGATGCTTATTCGTTTCTCAGGTTGGTATTGGTATAGTATTGGAACTTTTTCTGAAATCAGACTTCAATAAAGGTTAAACTGATGTGATAATTGAGGTCTTGTGTAGTGTATGAGATGTGAGAATATAACCCAGTGCAGTACTCAAGTCTCGGAGGTAGTGGTGGTGGCATTATGGCATTGAATGTTACAGAGTATTTCAAGTAAATTCTTTGTGTAGTCTGTACATGAAGGGTAACTAATTCGCAACTGCGTGAGTACAGGAGTGTGAGGCACTATGTCTGGCCGCACACTTTGTTATTCACATTTGTGTGAGAGATATTCAAGCGTATTGTGTGTTAGGTTCTATACACGGGAGCTGATATGGCTACTAAGTGAAAAAAGTGGGTACAATCTTCATATGTATGAGGTTTGGTGTACAGTTTATGACTGAAGGGTTATATGTGAACAGAGCCACCTGAGGACTCCTTAACATTTACCTGTTGCTTCTCAAGCAATACTGACTTAGGGTCATAACTTGCTTCATAAAGGTATACACCCACCTCTTGTTTTACATGGGGGTTACGTTCTTGTAAACCACCGCTTAATTAAAAAATGTGTAAATTAAACATAATTTTCCCTTAAGAATACATGTAAATGGTACAGGTTAGGGGAACCATCATATACCACACAGGGTACGAACAGTGCTCTCACTTAAACAAAGCAAACCTCCGACACACGCTCTCCTCTCTGAAGGCGGGTGATCACATTTAATTTCACGACCATTGCGATTGTTTTTGGTGCCTCTTTAGCTTTAGGTGCCCCAGAGGAGGCAGATGGACGTTTTCCAGACATGCTCAATGGGGAAAACGGCGTTTAACACTAAAAGGTACGTGTTAAACACACAATGCAAATGAGAGCACAGAGAAAAAGTAGTGCCGGTGTGAACTGAGAAAGTGATCCGCTGGAAGCTTGCTGGACGTGGTCACAGTTGTTGTACAGAATACTTCATTATCATCATTATCTTCATCATTAGTAGTAATAATCTTTATTATTACAATAATTACTATTATTAATAATAATATTAAAATCATTAATGTTGATATGACTGAGACTTTATAGTAATAACTTACAAGCACCTCGCCAGGCATCACACGATACTCCACTGCCAGGCGACCAGGAGAATACCGGCAAATTTAAACTGTCTTGAGCGTTATTTAAAAAATAGGTCGTGTAAATTAACTTTGGTATTAATTGAACGATCGCTTTATTCAAAAACGCTTACATCAAATCGCAATTACCTGTATGCAAATGGTCAAGTGACTGTTAGCATTTGCACTGATCTAAAGTAGAATGAGTGACTGCTATGATTGTAGTTAACCTCTATACAGTAGAGTGTACCGAGGATTACCTGTACAGTAGAGTGTACCCAAGGGAGTTAACCTCTGTGTGAGTGTACCCAAGATTTAACCTCTGTACAGTAGAGTGTGCCGGGGAGTTGACCTCTGTACAGTAGAGTGTACCGAGGTTAACTCTTTGATAGGTACCCAAGGGAGTTAACCTCTGTACAGTAGAGTGTACCCAAGGGAGTTAACCTCTGTACAGTAGAGTGTACCCGAGGGAGTTAACCTCTGTACAGTAGAGTGTACCGAGGAGTTAACCTCTGTACAGTAGAGTGTACCCGAGGGAGTTAACCTCTGTACAGTAGAGTATACCCGAGGGAGTTATCCTCTGTACAGTACAGTGTATCGAGGAGTTAACCTCTGTACAGTAGAGTGTACAGGGAGTTAACCTCTGTACAGTAGAGTGTACCGAGGATACCTCTGTACAGTAGAGTGTACCCGAGGGAGTTAACCTCTGTACAGTAGAGTGTACCGAGGAGTTAACCTCTGTACAGTAGAGTGTACCCGAGGGAGTTTTGAACCGTGATCTTCCACATTACTGTACTTGTCTCTCTCTCTCTCTCTGAGCCATAAATTTTATATTATAATTATCTTCTTTTTTAATTATCACTGCTCTCTTTTATAACAAACTAGTTTTAAGTTCTAAATTTGTTTTTTCATTTTTAAATTTATTAAATGTTTTGTTGTTTCAGAGGAATACCTAACAAAAGATTGGATTTATCCCAAAGAACTTCATGGTATTGGAAAATATGGAAATGATTCATACAGAATCTTCTGTGTCAATGAATGGTAAATCCGCCCCTCCGACCACATGTTGAATTTCTACATTGATTGGCTATGGGATAATCACCGATATTTGGGCCTTGATTAGTACTTATGGGGTAGGGATCATTGATTGTGACCATGCATGGTTCTATGTGAAGAGGCCAACAGTTTTAAGCCTTACAGATGACAAGAGCTGCTCCCCTCCATGAACTTTTAATGGCTGCACTCTGAAATACACTAGCTCTCGTCATTCAAAATTACACCTTTATATATTTTTTGAAGTGCAGATATCTGTATAATACTCTTGAGTTATATTGGTTAACTGTAGATAAAGGTATTGTAATGAGCAGTGAGTGTTTGTAGTACAGTATTTTGAAGGGTAGTTAGCTAGGTTTTGATTATGTGACAAGCTAAGAATATTAGGGACCTTGCAGTGTTTGTATAGAAGACTGATTCTGTGACTTGGTACTGTATGTACAGTTGTTGCCCAATATTTTAGAAAGTCAGAAGGTGGCAGTGTAAAATGTATACACTGGCTTGTTAAAATAATTATGTACTTCTTCACTTGCTGCTAGAAAAATTTTTTTTTTGAAAAGGCTTTAAAATTATTGATCTCTGTTGATATATGTAAGGAGATATTGTTATTATTGTCACAGGATATTGCAGTATTTTCACCATGTGTAAATTACACTACAGTACATAGATTATTTCATTTTTTGTTAGGTAAACACCTTCAGTTTAGTCGGGTAGGTAATGTTCATGTAGTTTCATGACATGACTTTTATGTATGCATGGTTATTTAAGAATTTGTTTGTTTTATTGATCATGTAGAAATTGTTGTCTGTTTTAATACTTTGAAATAAAAGATGGAATTGTAAATTTTCTGACTAGCTGAATTTCATGACTGAACAATATTCCATTTGATGCCTGTCAAGTGACTCTTGTATAGTTGAACACCTAAGCTGTCAGGTCTAGACCTCTAACACTGGTGGCTGGACTATTACCCTCACTTATTCCAATACTGTACTTACTACTCATTATAACTGTCTTCCTAAACATGCAAAATTAAAAGTAAATGATGCCATTAATAATAAGATAATTTTTTAGGAATGATGTCACACTAGCATATACACCATAATAATTCAGGTGTTCAGGACAGTGGCCAAATTGGATTCTATTCTTGATGCATTTGTCAGTGTTTCAGCCATCCATCACCTGGTTAGACATTACCAGTTAGAATCTTGTTTATCAATGCAAAACTGGTTTGGAATGTTAGGAGAATCTATTCCAAATGTTGGTATAGAAGGAGTCCTCCAGGTGATTGTTGTCAGTAGCTTATTTTGAGTTGTACAATGAATTATAAAGGGCTTTTTTCAGCTAACTGGGTAGGATTGGATCGGTGGGAATGACTCAGGGAAGTAAAACTTCCCTGAGTCATTCAGTTAATCTTTACCAAAGCAATGACCCAGTAGAGATAATTAAGACAATTGTACTATAGTACTATACAGTATATATATATATACAGTAATACAGGTACACCACCGATTTTCCAGGAACTGATGGTCGGGCACATCATTTAGTATGGACAAAATTATGAGGGAACTTGAAATTTCCTCGATTGCCAGACTAGTTTACTGGGCGGCCACAGATGGCAGTGCGTGTGGTGCGGCCACTTAATTGTTTACATTGCAGTTGTTGGTGGTGATACTTCAATTTTGTGCGATTCTTAGCTTATTTTGCTTACATCTAATCGTAAGTATGACTTCTAAGTAAGGTGCAAGTGTCAATGGTGGTGTCAAGCATAAACACCAGTCCATATCGATACAAGATGATGTGGAACTGTTGAAAAAAACTGTACCGTAGTGTTTCCGAGTAGAAGCTGTGTGATACATATGTTGAGTGTCGTCTGAACTTAAGTTCCCTCCCTTCCTGCCATAATTCACTGGATGTACTGCTATTATTAGTGTTTACTGATATAATAATGCTTAATAGTGATTAATCATGGCATTGTAGCCAGTTAGACTCGTCACTGCAACCAGCAGGCTACTGGGCCAAGCTGCGAGGTGGGTTTTTTTTCATCTTGTATTTTTGGGTAGATAAACGTAACTTTCTTCGTTTATTTTTTACTTATTTACATGCACACACCTTCCTCAATACATACTGAATAAAGGTAAAAGAAATAATTGTCCTAAGGGCAAACCTGTATTCAAATGTACTATATAATTCCTAAAATTTTATGTCTAGTTCAATCTCTGGAATGTTGTACTCAAATTAATCACTATCCTACAAGAATTACAGCAATGGAAGTTATATTCTGCTAAGTCAATTCAGTGACATTTTATAAGCACAAGACTTAAACCTCTATATGACTGATAACTGCCCACTTTGTTAACTCCTGCCTGCTGTCAACATTAACTCCCCCTCCCAGCCAGGGTGAAGGGTAGTTTTAGGCTTTAAAGTTTTTATTGTATAAAATGTCACAGACTAATCTAAGCAAAATATAACTTGCATTGCTGGAATCCTTGCAAGATGGTGAATAATTTATATAAATATCACATAGTTTGCATGAGATAAAATTTTTAATCTTTTAGTGTAGTATGTTGTAGTTCAAAGTGAGTATACAATAATATGTTGCTCAAAATTATGGCTTTTTCACAGTCTATGGTGCTATAGAGACACAGGGGGTGTATAATTAGTGTATTGTTTAATTATTATTACCTGACCTCGGTTGGTCCGGCAAAACAGCTAATCCAACAAGGCTTTGTAACCAAGGGTGCCGGAAAATTGGTGGTGTACCTGTATCTCTGTTTGCAGGAATGCCTCAGACCTGGAACTCTCCAATAGCTGGAAATAAAATTTTCTCGGAAAATCGTTCCCAATGCCTTAATTTTCCGGACATTTCTGGCCTTAAGAAAAAAAATAAGGCTCATTTTCCTGAATTTCAGAGAACCTTTTTTTTTCAGTATATATATATATATATATATATATATATATATATATATATATATATATATATATATATATATATATATATATATATATATATATATATATATATATATATATATATATATATATATATATATATATATATAAGTATATATATATATATATATATATATATATATTTTTTTTTTTTTTTTTTTTTTTTTTTTTTTTTTATATATATATAGTCACTGTAAGTGGTGATTAGTATATGCTGTGTAAGAAAAAACACGAGTTCCCAAAGCTTTTGTAATTCACATCTTCAGGGTGAGTACAGACTGAGAGAGTAATACAAATCAAGGTGTATATATACAGAGGAGGGTGAGACCAGGTCACAATGGTCAGGTATTAGGTAATGACCCTACTAATCTTTAAATGTACACACTACGGTTGGTGGTCAGGTCAGATGGTCAAGTGAGCAATACGTAACTGTTGCTGTAGTTGGGTCATAATGGGTTAGGTTAAATTAAGT